GAGTAGACGCTTGGTGCGCCTCCCGGTAAAGTTCTTGGAGAAACGACCGCTTACCGGGGCATGATCAGAGTCGACGCAGGTACTCCAGTACGAGCGGCAATGCAGGATGGAACCACAGTACCTGTAACCTATGGCTATGTGGTCAATTTGGGTTCATTGCTGGCCAGCTACAGGAGGACGTTAAGTGGCACTTCGGCGCCCACTGTCTGAAAGCAGTGCTACTGAGAAACAACTGGTGCTCCGCACACAGTTGCAGCAGTTGCTCGCCGTTGTCAGTCCGTTCGGCCTTAAGCTCATAATTATCATCCAGCTGAGCTTCCGAAGAGTTCAGACGCCCTACTTGTGCGTTCATATCCCCTGCAAGTACTATAGTATCTGAACCAGTAGCACTGCGTAGTAGCTTGTTCAGTTCGTGATAGAATGTATCCTTGACAGCACTAGAACAGCATTCGGTGGGAGCATAAGCGAAAAGTGCAATCAAACAGCGTTTTGTACTGCTTCTTGAATGAACCTTAGCTGATGCCGTCAAACGGGCTGCACATAAACGGCTGTTCACCGGAATCCAATCAAGCAAGAATGGATCAGCGTTGCAGCTTAGAATGATACCTACACTAGATTGAGCCGTGTGGTGCATCAGCGTCTGCGGATGCATGCAACCAATAACGAGTGGATAAGCCCGGTGTGGTTACTTCAACAACTCTATTAGGGCCATCGATCCTAATTTCGGACACAACCCACATCAATACCCAGTGTGTCCAAGGTGCGTGTGAGTGCAGCCTGTTCACCTACTTGTCTTAGAGTGCAAACGTTGAACATCACCATGAAAACTGGACGGGGTGGCCTTAGAAGGGACTGTTGCTGATAGGCATCCGGTGCGTATTACGAGAACGTGGCTACAGATGGTTCCACTCCAGTGTCATTTCGGTTGCTATCAATTAAACTGGGAGTTATAGAAGGAAGGTCGATAATGGGGTCGGGATGGGAGTAAGAGAAACGTGGAAAAGAAAGAAGGGAGGCGCCAACATTAACATCTTTTTGCTTATCCACCCTGCTGTATGCAGCACATAAGGCGACGCTTGCTAATCTGTGCGACGGCCACTGCAGTATGAAGTTTATGTTGGAGGGAAAGGTCATGGTTGTATGTTGGCTGGGATACTGCAAGGGCGCCCAGACCTAGACAGGAGGACGATTAGGGTCCTCCTCCAAATCCTTTGGCTCAAAAGTCTGTCTGCAAGGCAGCGGGTAGGTGGCAATGATTTAGTTTTATAGAAATGGACGCCATCCGATTTCAAAGCCCCAACCTGGAGGACCAGGAGACTGAGTTTGTCTGACCTCTCACAAGTACCAGGACGTAAACGAAATGCGAATAAAAGCGGTTCGGTAGGACGTGTAAATTTTCTCCAGTTAGTGCTTTATAAGCTAGAGGCACGAGGTTGGATGTACGAGTTGTATTAATTGGCCGACTGCGCTACGTATATGACCGCCAACCACTGATTTGGCATGCCCTTCAGTCCTCGTTCAGGAAGCTGGCACGTATCTGACCAACCAAGTCTCCCAATCAATTTCTAATCTCCTTTCACGTTCTTAACCGGTGGTCCTTTGCTTTCTACCGGCTAGATGCAGCCATGGTAGACATTTCAGACGGACGTAGTTGGTTTGGAGGCATAGGGAACGTTTCAAGTCTAACGGATGTTTCGGTGCGGCTCCAGGACGTTTATTCTCTGACACCAACTGGCGGCTAGCAACATCGCTCTTTTCTCCAACCAGATATGCACACCTCTCTGCAAGCACCGGGATTCAAAGGTCTCAACTGAGTGTTTTTGGCGAAATCTTGGCCAATACTCACAGCAGAGCAAATAAACGATAAAGCTAATGTTGGTATATCTGTTTCTCCTTATCTTTCTATTCCTGTGGCGCACACTCAGTCTTCACAAACTTTTAGTTCGCGTAAATTTCGGTGGTTCTTGTGCCAATGAATTTACGCAATATGCATCTTTGTCGCTATAGTGTTGAGTAAACCGTTGTCAAAATAATTGCTGTCCATGTACGTTTGCAAATGAAACTCGCAAAGAGCTCCGGGCGAAACTCCGTGCTAGCCTGAAGAGAGACCGCGAATCCTGGTGGTCTCGTCGTGCAACAGAGATGGAAATGGCCGCTGCCCTTGGTAACCATCGTAAGTTATTCCGTCTGATACGGGAGACGGGCAGCAGGAGACCTGGTGTTAGTGAAACTATACGTGACGAGAGTGGGCAGCCTATTCACAACTTGTCAAAACGCCTGGAACGTTGGGCTGAGCACTTTGAAAGGCAATTTAATCGGTCGGAATTGTTAGATTTCTCGCCGACCATTGATCGCCTTGCTCCGTGGGCTGTTCCTTTGGATCCACCCTCTCGCTCAGAAGTCGCACGTGAGATCAAACTGTTGAAGTTAAATAAAGCCGCGGGACCAGATGATCTTCCTCCAGCCCTCTTCAAATTCGGAGGACCTGCTCTTGTGGATCATTTACACGAGTTACTAGTGAAACTGTCGGAGCAGGGGACTGTCCCAACCGATTGGAGCCGCTCCATCATAGTCCCAATTTTCAAAGGAGGCTCACGATCGGAATGCGGTAGCCATAGAGGAATCAGTCTGATCTCCATCGCCTCCAAATTGCTTGTCTCTGTCATCTTTCACAGACTGACTGGCACTCGTGAAACCCAGATTCGTGAAGAGCAAGCTGAATTTCGTCGAGGTCGTGGCTGCATTGACCACATCTTCACTTTGCGTCAGTTGTTGGAGCACCGTCACACATATTGGCGACCCACTGTTGTTGTGTTCCTCGATATCAAAGGTGCATTCGATTCGGTGGATAGACATGCACTTTGGGACTGTCTACTCAGGAAAGGTGTGCCCGAGAAATATGTGAATATTATCCGAGCATTATATGCGCGTAGCTCGGACAGAGTGAGGGCTTACGGCAAGTTGTCGTCGCCCTTTAATATCTCCAGCGGCGCGAGACAAGGATGCCCGCTGTCACCTTTCCTCTTCACTTTCGCTGTTGACGAAGTCATGGAAATCGCGTTCACAGGGCACGACTTAGAAGGTGTGGAGCTACTCCCAGGAGAACGACTTCTTGACTTAGAGTATGCTGATGATATTGCCCTGATCAGTGACAGCTCACAAACGTGCCAAGCGGCACTGGACAGATTAGCACTAGCTGTCCGTCACTTCGGGCTTTGCTTCGCACCCTCGAAGTGCAAAGCGTTTCTCCAAGATTGGTCTGGACCGCCTCCTACCCTGACCCTTGGTGAGGATCAGCTAGAAGTCGTTCAAGAATTCAACTACCTGGGAAGTTGTATCAGCGCCCGTGAGATTGAAGATGAAATCACGAATCGTATAGCAAAAGCTCGAGGCGCTTTTGCTAACCTTCGCCACTTGTGGCGCCGGCGCGACATCACTCTCACCCTGAAGGGTAGAGTGTACAATGCAGCGGTACGTTCGACCCTACTGTACGGTTGTGAAACCTGGCCGGTTAAAGCAGCGTACCTGAAGAGGCTAGTTACGTTCGACCACCGGTGCCTTCGTAATTTAGCTCACATCTGGTGGGAACACTGCGTGAGCAACGAGCGTGTTCGACGCCTTGTTTATGGCACAGGAAAAGGAACTGAACCGCTCAGTACCGTTATTTCACGCATCAGGCTCCGATGGCTCGGCCACGTGTTACGCATGCCAGCCCACCGACTTCCGCGACGTGCGTCGTTTGCGCGCCGGGGGTGTGGATGGAAGAAGAGGAGGGGTGGCCAAGCGATGACTTGGTCCAGAGGAATGAAGGCCCTCACTTCTGAGCTGGCCTCGGTTGGAGCGTCTCGGCTCCCAGGTTGGGGTCCAAAAGACGATGAACACGTTTGGTTGGACACACTTGCTGATATGGCTAGGAGTTGACCTCAGTGGCGTTCGTGCTGTGAGTTTCTTTGTCCCACCCCATCCCTCTTAGCCTCCCCCTCCAACCACGATCTCATTATTTAGCCTTATATAATTTGCAAATTAATTTTTTTGGGTGCAAAGCAGCCGGCTGGTAACTTACCGGAACGATGCCCATCCGTTAACGGTAGCTCAGCCAACTTGCACCAGTTGCATTTTTTTCTCTCCTTTTTTTCTCTGTATTGCGGCACAGTAGCTGAGGTGTTCCCCACCTCTAGCTAACGTGTATGATGATGATGATGACGTTTGCATGGTCTCTGAGTTCGCCAAAGGTACGATCTCTGTACCACCTTAGCAGAGTATTGCACTTACACAATGGACATCATAGACACTGACATGTATACGGTCGAACTCAGTTACTGGTAGCTACAATTACCAGTAGGACTAATCACGGATCCCCAGTATTCAGAACTGAACGTTGCCAGACCCGTCGTGTATTGTACCTGGAAGTCAGCTAGCGAAACACGTAGCGATAAACTGCATGCCTTAGCATCAGTAGAACAAATAGACCGTTGAAAGATGTAAACAAGAATAAAATCCATTATCACGAAATACTGAAGGCTTAAATGTTTCACAATCACTACATGGGTCTCCTTTTGGAAGGCTGATGGAAGGAAGCGTTCGATAAAGGCGTCAGGTGGGTAACCAATGTGAGAGCGTGAAAGTGTGATAAAAACTGGATTGGGTACAAGCAATGTGAAAGGGAAGTTGGGAGTTCACTGGGTTCGGTATTCTCTGTTATTTATTTGGTGTTGACTTAAGTGTATCATCATCCGTGGGTCGTCGGAGCGGGCTGGCCGGATTGCGAAAAGCGGGTTATTCCAGAAAAGGGGCAGTTAGGACATTCCCACCGCTGCAGACCCGACGGGGCGCTTAGGTCTCACTCCCCCACAACACCCAGCCCGCAGCCAACATGGCCCACGTCCCTAGAGTAGGGTTGCATCCAAACGATCGCGGTCCAGACTAGCCGTTGTAAACATCTGCAGAGTGGGAATGACAGTCGCTTGAAGCGAAGGTGATGGGGCCTGGGCTTCGGACATCTGGGTCAGTTGCCGCGTTGGGTCAGGGGACTTGGGTGCTGGAATATAAAATTCGAGGATGGTGGGATGTGGTCAGGACAGGTGTCGTGATGCCGTATGGAAAATTAATCAGGTATACGGAGCAAAATAAGCACACTTTCTGGTGTTTTAAACGTTTAGGGTTTTTTATATGGCTTATAAGACGCACGTTAACCACGAAAAGTGAAAATATGTGCATTTTAAGGACAATAGCAAACGTTTACGAAATCGGAGAAACACACTGGACGTTTGGGACGCCTACCGCGTCGGTCTGTTGCCTGGGATTGGCGAAGAGTCAAGAGGACCAAAGATTCTGGGTTGTGGGAGACTCTTACGCAGGTGTGTGTACCTGTGCTGTTGTACCCGGTGAGGCTGGGGACGGGTCTTCGAAGATGACGACAATAAGACGATCGATGAACACCATTGTTCGCTGACCATTCTGATCTAAGCTAAGACACTTCGGAGTTCCTTGAAAATCTCTAAACAGGCTGATGTAAGGAGACTGAAGCGAACAACGCAGGTAGAGTTCTCTGTGCATTTGCACATCTCTGTTCTGCTCACGAGGACGGGTCAGGTGCAGCATGCGCAAAAGTTGAGATAGAGGATGCGATATTTGACGGGGAATACATGATGATGAGGAAGGTGAAATGAGATCTCCTGGAAGCTCAGTGTAATGCCATATACCAATTCTGCTGGTGCGCATCGCAAGTCAGCTTTGATGCTGCCGCGAAGACCTAAAAGCACAAACGAAATGTTTTCGCTCCAGTCATCGTCTGATGTGGCACAGAGAGATGCCTTAAGCTGTCATTGAAAACGTTCCACTAAGCCTTTAGCTAGCAGGTGATATGCGGTGGCAATCTAAGAATTTACAGAACGCGTCGACTTGTGGGGATTCGGAAGGCGTTCCACAGTCAGATGTGATCGTGGATGGGCATCCGTAGTGGGGCACCATCGGTCCAAGAAGTCACAGACGACATTCTCGGCCGAGCAGTCTGGTACGGGGATGGCTTCTGATCATCTGATGAAGCGGTCGATCCATGTCAGTATGTGCACAAATCCATGAGGAACTAAGGGTCCTACCCAGTCTAGGTGTACTTGTGAGAACCGCTAATCCCACACCGAGAATGAGCTCAGAGAACTGCGGGTGTGCCAATGTACCACAAGTTCGAGCCTAGTTACGAACGTCTTTGTTCACGCTTGACGAAACAAAAACTTCCGGTGACCAATTTCAAAATCCACGATTGCCCGTGCGAGACAGTGAGTGGAGGGCGTCGAAGACTGTGGGTCTGAAAGAGGCTGGCACGATGGGTCTTGGGCAACCAGTACAATGGTCGTTAGGGATATTTCCGTTCGTGGGTTTGAAAGGGATTGATTGCACCCTTAGTGAAATTGACTATAGGGTATGTTGGGGGTTTTCATCATGGGCCTGAGCCAGTGCCATGACGGAAAAGGGTAAAGTTGGCGTGAGAGAGCATCAGCGGCGGGGTGGTGACACCTGAGGCATGACGTATGTCGGCAGTGAATTGCATGACAAACTCTATGTGTCTAGTATCCGTAATGAATATTTGTCAGCAATGTGTTAAAGGCAAATTGAGGAGCCTGTGGTCAGTGTAGACCGTGAAAGCCCGGTATTCTAATGTGTGTCTGAATTGACGGATAGCTAAGTAGATAGCAAGCAGTTCTCTGTCAAACGTGCTGGTTACAGATGTTTGGAGAATAAACCAACTGATTGCTACTGTCCACCAACGTGTTACCGGAGAACAGCTCCTACTTCAACATCTGAAGCGTCAGTTGTAAAAGAAAGGGTAACGGGCGGTTCGGAATGTACGAGGAGAGCTACACTGGAGATAGCATCCTTGAGCTCGGTGAAAGTCGTGTATTCTATATCAGGGAAAGCGAGCTTACAGTCGTTTCCTCTGAGGAGTTCACTTATAGTCTGCATAAGTTGAGGGCAGCGAGGGATGAAGCACAGATAGTAGTTAACAAGACCGCAAACTCGATGTAGATGCTTAAATGAAGTCGGAGCTGGGAAATCTTTGATGGCCTAAATCTTGTCTGCTAGGGGCCTCGATACCAGATGGCCTAGGAATTCTACCGTGGACTTGTTCGCACTTACTCGGTTTGGTGGTGACGCCATGTTGGGTCAACCGTTGAGAGAGCGACTGAAGGTGTGGTAGCTGCTCTTCGTCGGACGAATTGGCCACTAGAATGTCATCGAAGGGTAGGCATAGACAAAGTCTAGGCCATGGGTGACGTCGTGGGTGAAGCGTTGGAATGTCTGTGTAACGTTGCATAAACTGAAAGGCATTCTTAAAATCTCGAATAAGCTGAGGGGGGTGATGGCGGCAATTTTGGGTATGCTTTTTCCCTCCACGGGTATCTGGTGATAGGTACGAACAAGTTCGCTCTTGCTAAAGATCGTCTTACCTGTATGACATGCATTGAGATCTTGTGTATTTCGAATGGGACATCTGTCAATAACACTTAGTTTGTTTAGTGCCTGATAGTCGCCTCAAGGACGCCAGTCTCCGGACTGTTTTGGGACCCTCTAGAGTGAGGATGACCAAGGGCCATCTGAAGGACGGATTATTCCAAGCTCAATCTCCGCCTTCAGTTACTCTGGTGTAAGTCGGCGCGGGCGTGATCAGACGGGTGGGACGTTAGTCCGGATTTGATGCGTTACTTGAGATGCCACGGGCAGAGCTGTGTTGGCTGTACGAGCTTACGGTAATGGGGTAAAGTTAAGCGTAATAGGAAAAGGTCTGTGGGAAAGACGTAGATTGGTGCAATGGCGGCTTTGGTACCAGAACGCTGAGCGTCGTTGCGGGATCGACTGTCCACATTTGTTTCGCATCGGCCAATAGTTCGAAGTGTCTGAGGAAGTCTATGCCGATGGCGGCAAACGGAACAGTGGTAATAATGAACACAGCCAACTGTTTTGCGGTGACCTAGGGTAAAGATCTTTGGTCGTAAGTAGAGATGAGGGTGCAGTTGGCGGCACGAAGATTGTGAGTAGGCGGCTTTATCGCATCTGGAACGCGGTTCCAGATTTGCGTTTCTTAACAAAAGGTAGGGGGCTGCCGTCGTTTGGCCTCGCGACGTTAGTCGCCTTTACGTCGTGGCCCAGGGCCGTTCTGCTCTATGGTAGTGAAACTTGGCCCCTTCGGTCTGAAGATCTGAGGCGCCTTCAAGTCTTTGATCATCGTTGTTTGCGAAGCATTGCTGGTGTCGGATGGCACCAGCGTGTCCGCAACGATGATGTGCGTAGGCGAGTACTAGGTGGTGATGATCATGCTAGCTCCCTAGAACAACAGATAGCAGTGAATAAGTTGCGTTGGCTCGGGCACGTGCTACGCATGCCTGGTCACCGCTTACCTAGGAGGGCCTTGTTCAGTCTACCAGGTGTCGGATGGCGCAAGGCTCGAGGTGGACAGAAGTTGACTTGGCAGCGGGAAATGAAGTCACTGACGACCAAACTGGGTGCCGTTGGTCCGTCTCGCCTTCCGGGTTGGAGTCCACGTGACTCACCTTGTGTTTGGCTCGAGACTTTACAGGACATGGCTCGCAACCGACACCAGTGGCGCGTCTGCTGCCGTCTCCTAATCGGATTGTCTGTTTAAAGTGTGTTTGGTGCTGAGTTATCTGCGGGGTAATGGCTGATTATGACGCGTGGCAGTGAAAGCCGCAAGGAAGCTGTCTCGCCGATGCCGCCTTATCTTTGCACGATAGCCAGCTGTTTGTGACGGTATGTTGTCTACACAAGGTGTAGGCGCCTTGACCCTGAATGTTTGCTTAGGGCATTGAGGTTTTCAGGTAAGTCCCCCTTCTCTCCCTCTTCTTATTCTTTATTTCATAGGTCCTCATGGTTGTATGGCAGCGAAGCATCAGTTCAAATGGCTGATGTACTGCTGTTGATGATGATGATGATGATGATGACGTCGTGGCCCAAGGGTTCCCCTTTTGAGTCGGATTAAAAGTGCAGGGCGCGGTACAATGCTTGGCTTGCGCACCGAAGCGGCGATGATATTGGCAGAATTTTTTACCAACTATGGAGCCCTTTCGGTTAGGTGACTTGCTACTTGAGCGTCGTGTGTTAGGGTTGGCAAGTCTGTTGTTAAAGGCATGGCGTAGAACAGCTAGTTCCGCTAAGACGGTTGCTTATTCCTGCGAAACTGTGGTGATAAGGTGGAGAAGCAGCGTTCTGATTACAGGGTAATTGTGGCAATGTTGGAGTGTCGCAATTAGGCTGAGGTCGAGAATGATCAACTACTGCGTCAGGTATTTAAGGGGCCTCGCCTGGCGATTGAACTTGTATTGCAATGAGGATACCTTGGGCAGTTTCTGCTAAACGCTGCAACCAGAGTTCGTGCATTTGCAATTCGCCCATGGACGATGTACCGAGCATTCGGCACATCTCGCTCAGTAGCGTTGAGGGTTTCTTGTCACTCAACTGCAGCCCCTGGAATAACCACTGAATACGGGTCCGCTCAAATGGTGTGATTCTGCTAATGACGGCCTGCTCAATAGTGTCGTAACTGCGCAGAGACATGGTGGATCAAAAGATCCCTGCATTGCAGAGTTACGTTAATGGGCAGGCAGGTGCGTAGCTAGTTACACTGATGAACATGAGACGATCCTATAGCGAATGAATTCAGAGTAACAAGATTGCAGATCGCTGTTAATAAACGGCGTGACAGGAATGATGACAGCCTTGAAAGCAGGATCAGGCATAATGAAGGTATGCTAAATGATGCAAAATGCAAAACCAGACAAAAACGACAAGGTTCCGTCTCACTGGGGTGTGGGACTCAAGATGTTTGCGATAGAGTTCACTACTGGGGTCACCAATTGTAGAGCCGAACTCAGGTACTGGTAACGTCAACTACCAACACGATTACTCACGGATAGCGAGTATTCAGTGTTGCAGAACTCAGTCCTCCAAGGACAAGCGCTTATTCATCAATGACAGCTCCGCGAAAATTACAGCATGTTTGGCAAGATAAGCTCCTCGATATACCTTGCACGTTCAGGTCCATTTGACGGCCCTTCTGATTTAAGGAAATGGTGAATCACCCACACGAACATCGGGCAATCCGAGTCCAGTAGTCAAATCCGTCACGCCCGCCTCGCATTGGCTGTCTGGCTCACTCGGTTGGTCCATCTGCTCATTCTTATCTGATATTGCAACCCCATTCCTCTTTTCGTGTTCTTATGCCCCCAGATTGCTATCCTCCCCGTACACCTTGACACCCCGCGTCATCTTCGTTGTATCTGCAGCCGTGGTCTTGCCCCACGCCATCTGGCACTTTTATCCCAGTCCACTGTTGTCTCCGGTGTCGTCTCAAATGCACTCGATTTCTTCTGAACCTTTGATCTCCAACCTATATTTCGTATGACCTGGCACCGACCCTCGCACTCACCGCACATTTCTTCCACTGCTCTTGACTATCGGTACTGGTTGAACCCACACTTCCTCCCCACTGTTAGCTCAGATGGTACCTGTGCGCCGCGTCGTTGTACCGTTTCTGAGTGCTCATTCGTTGTCTCAGATTGTTCTGTAATCACTAGTGCTATGGCAGAACTGAGCGCAAAATTGCGGCAGATGCCGGTATCAGAGTTCTAGTCCTTCGACTGTATCGGCGCTGCACTAGGCTCAAACCGATATCCGTTGAATGTGTTGCGGTTCTCCAGTAGCATGAAGTACGAGTCCTCGCCACTAGTTCTACTCTTTGATAACAGCCGCTTGACCTGCTTCACTGTTGACCGCGTTTCCATTCGATTGTGATATGAGCTGGTTTGCTGGTGCACGAATTGCGACTCGGTTGCGAAGGCCTGGAACGCACCGCTGGTAAA